CCGGCAAGACTTGGGTCTCGACTAGCGCCCTTACAAGGTTTTGCACCTTCGACCCTAACGCAATTTGTTTGTGCGGGATTGATTACGTAGTAACCGTCGTCCTAAATTCAATCCTTATGGCACTGCAGATCTAGCCAGGACACAAGTCTGGTATGAGACAGACACACTTTAAGTATAAAGTTTACCGTGACCTTTAGCAAGATTTAAGATTAGTTAAAACGGGGTACCGTCCGGTGGTGATAATAATGTCAACGGCAGCCGGTACCATTCTAATTCTACTGTAACCAACGTGTTTGAAATGGAGCCTGGGCACGGCGGGCACGCGATTGCCACATGGCACAGCAAGACCGAGTGATTGAAGGTAGAAGATACAAAGGGAGACATTAGCACAGAGAGAGAGAGAGAGAGAGATGGAGGGAGGGAGGACAGAGAGTCAGATAGTGGAAAGAGAGGAAAGGGAAAAGGATTGTTGAGTCGTCGCTCTCAACAGTGGTGTCTACGCTTTTCTTCCTTTTCGTGAGGACCAGGTTTGGCAATTGTTCATAGTATTGATACCACACATTATCGAGTCCGCGTGGCCTCAGTCCCCGGTCCGGTAACTGGCGCTTTGTGAGTTGTACGTCACCCCTTATTTTAAGGCATGTTTACATTGCTGATAGTAGCACACAACTGTATAATTATGAAGATGTGTGGTTTGGGTTTGGATGATGAGATACAGCCTGACCTGGATCTGTCAGCTGAGTGGGACCGTCTCTTTACCTCAGAGGTAGTGTGAAAGTGCAGCTGTGAGATAACGGTGGTCTGGTGTGCCAGGGAGGAACGCTTGTCAGCGATCCAGACTCGCGTCACGACAAAACACAACTAGAGTTCCACGATCTCATACCTTTGCCAAATGAAGTTAAGCTTTATGACTGACAACAAATTATAGATTATTCCCCCTGATTATGCAAATAGGATCCTCATTTACATATATTATAGATATGATCAGTTGATCATATTCTCCACCAAAGAACAGTCTCATCTTAACAAAGAGAATGCCATTCTAGCATTTCCTTATAAGTTATGCAAATGAAGTCCTTATTTGAATAAGTTATGTTTAATGATGTTCATCTTCACTTACCATTTAAGGAAGGTACCATTGTTCTATCAACAGACGCTCTATTGTGCCAACTTGAACTGGATGAATCCGGCGCTAAATGCTGGGCTTCGGGAGTCCGCAAGACGCTAGAGGAGTGTGGTTTTGCCTACGTATGGAATTCGCCGATGTCGTATGTCTTAAATTCTTCACAAATTATTCCATCCCTTGATCAACGTCTAAAGGACATGTATTTCCAAACTTTTACAGCAGAAATTCGTAACAACAACAAATTACGAACATATAGATTACTAAAAAATACTTACCACGAGGAAAAATATCTGAGAATTACAAACATTCGACACAGAACAGCCATCACAAAACTCCGGATAAGTTCACACAAACTCCACATAGAAAAGGGAAGACACAACCACATTCCTCTACAGCAAAGGATCTGCCAATTTTGTAATCTAGATTATATTGAAGATGAATGCCATTTTGTAGTTGACTGCACATTATATAGAAATGAGAGGGATTCCCTCTATACTTATGTAATAGATAAGTTCCCAAGCTTTAGACATTTAGATAGAATAGAAAAATTCAAATTCCTCATGAAACTTGAAAAGCCATGTATAATTAGCTCAATATGTTCGTACATCTTTAACTGCGTCAAGAAGCGAGAAGAAGCTGAACCTGTAAATAGTAGATCACATTAGTTTATATAGTATGTAAGTGTCATTACTGTTTTCTTTTCCCTGTTTACCCATGACCTGTACTTAGCTCGTTAGAGCACAAGCGTACAATAAAGGTCTTTCATTCTATTAATTATGCCAATTAAGTCTAGCTAGATTTACATAATCATCGATATCTGCCTGCCTTTGAATAGTCCTATCATGTAATGCAGCTGATTTATAGAATTTTTTCATAGATTATGCAAATTAAATCTATATTTACATAATTGTCACATAATTATGTCAAGCATCACTTAAGCTACCTACATACCAAATATCATGACGATCCGTCAACCGGTTCTTGAGTTATCCTCTTTTGAATAGTATTAAACAAACGCCCCTGCAGTTTCAGAGCAAGTCGTAAGGGGCCCAAACGTCAGTTCTTCCATGACCCTAGCATGTCTAGATCATGAGATATCAAAACCGGAAGTTCCGCTGCAGTACCATAAGAAGACGCCAGGGGCCCAAAATATAATAACTTCGAGGTCTCATCAAGACCTACCCACCTACCAAATATCAAGTCAATCCATTTAGGTCTTCTCGTGTTATCGTCTTTACAGAAAGACAGACGGACACACACACACACACACACACACACACACACACACACACACACACACCTCTAAAACATAACCTTCTTGGCGAAGGTAATGATAATGAGGACAACCGCGGATCAACAGCACCGTCTATCTTTTTAGGTAGAAAGTGCACCAATGCCAGGAAGAGTGTCAGCCGCGACGAAACGTTGACATTGCAACCCGAATCACAGACAACGTATAAAATTACATACCGATTAAACAAAGGGAACCCTGTGTTTTAGCTGCGAACACCAAAAACGGACTGTCCACAATACTCTGCAGGGAGTAACTAACAAGCCGACGTATTGGAGTTTGGAAGGAGTGTGTCAAGGATTGGAAAAGCCTAGCCTGTCATATGGACAAATGTTTCGGGAAAACTAAAACTGGGACACGAACATTCCAAAAAGAAGTACTAGTACACTAGCAAAAGAGAAGGTTATACTCGCATAGTACACAAGAAGAGCCTTTGTACACCACTGTGGTTAGCCTGTAGCCGTGCAGCTACATCAGTATATCAGTAACACATGACAACACGACTGAAAGTGCAGGAAACCAAGCCCGGAAACCAGGTATTTTAAGGACAGGAAGCCGAAGAAAGCATTATGTCATAGCCTGGAAAATATGAATAGAACATGTACGACCTACATGTATATAATGGATTGTGTGCTTACGTACACGTCTACTTACTTACGATCACCTACACACTACATACGTCTACTAGATTCAGTGTCGTTAATAGCATGACGTCTAAGGTGAGATAGCGCTGTAAGTCTATAGACTAGCCTCCTTTTCAGACGTTCCCGGATCGGTCGTTTTTTGGGGGGGGGGGGGTATTTTCTGATCAAACGTAGATCGCACGCAATAGAAGCTCCAGCCGGCAACCCTACATATATCTCCGTGGAACCACGGAGATATATGATAAATGTTGTTAATCTTTATGACTGACAAATTATAAATCATTCCCCCTGATTTAACAAGTAGATCCTCATTTTCATGAATTATATCAGTTTATCATATTCTCAACCAAAAGACAGTCTTATATTAACAAACAAAGCCATTCTAGCGTTTCCTCATAAATTATGCAAATGCATCCTCATTTGAATACATTATGTTTAATGATGTTCACCTTCAGTGAACTTTCAAATACCACAAGTATGAAATTCCAGGCAGTTATCATTACTTATCATTAGTTAGAATTATATCATTTTCTCATTAATTATACAAATTAAGTCTTCATTTACATAATCAATATCTGTCTGTGTTTCTCTTGTTCTCAATTACCAATCTGACAAGCTTCAATAGTCCTATCATGGAATGCAGCTGACTTATAGAATTTCCCCATAAATTATGCAAATTACACCCATATTTGCATAATCGTCACATAGCATCACTGAAACTACCTCCATACCAAAAATCACGACGATCCGTCAACCGGTTCTTGAGTTATCCTCTTTTGAATATTTTCAAAAAGATAGCCCTGCAGTTTCAGAGCTAGCCGCTAGGGGGCCCAAACTCACGTCACTTCTTCCCCAGCAGAAGAGCTTCCTACCATTCAAATTTCGTCACCCTAGCGTGTCCAAATCAGGAGATATCAAAATCGGAAGTTCAGCTGCAGTACCATAACAAGCCGCTAGGGGGTCCAAAACCTAATCATTTTGAGGTCGCATCATGACCTACGTACCTACCAAGTATCAAAACAATCAATTGCCGCCTTCACAAGTTATCGTGTCCACAGACGGACACACACACGCACACACACACACACACACACACATACACGAACGCCCCTGAAAACATAACCTTCTTGGCGAAGGTAACAAACACAGGCCTCCTGCTTATAGCGCAACTAAAACTTGAAATACTTTCACGAGTGTATTCTGGACTCGTTGGCAAAGTTGAGTTTACATGATTGGAGACAACGTACTATCACTTGTACGCAAACGGCAAAAAAAGTAAACAGAAGGTGACCCAGGAAATTATCTTATTTAGACTGGCTTAAGTGAGTATCAGACCACCGAAAGGGTGGTGTTCCAGGATCTTGAACAAAATATTGACAAAAGGTGGGGAAAAACCTATTTGTAAACAGCACCAAGCATGACGAATCATGGCGAATCCATACGTGTCCCTGAAAAGCACATTCAAGACTAGCTCCTATCTGCACTTCAGTCTCAGTATGGTACCCCCAAATAACCCCAGGTGGGACAAAGTCCAGTAAACTTTGGTGAATGATAAGTCACGGATTGACCACGCGGTTATACTGTGCGTTACTCTGAATCTGTTATGATTTATATGAATAATCTAACCTGGCTGTGGAATATTTCCATCATTCTAGGCTGATATTAATCAAATTTGTTTTCCAGACAGCGACTTCATACAAGTCTTGCAAGTGTTGCAAACTTGGTTCTGTCACCCTCCTGTAGACTTTGAGTAATCTGTACATAGAGTAAATCATGGTAGTAAAGATGTGGGTTTACGTGCGTCTACGATATCATGTCTGCACCTAGATATATAAACAATGCCAACAGTCAACAGTTGCAACGTACCAGCAGCTCTATGCAAATAAATACCATAGTTAACGTCAGGCCCGAACATGTACCACATTGAAGTGTTCCATACCGTTTCTTGCAGTTTGGACGCCCTCCGCAGATACTTGCTGTACGACAAACCTGCACAGAAAACCACGAAGACAACCACAAGTTGAAAAGTCTTCATTCTTGAAAGTTTCCAGACGGTTTTAAGCAGAGCGACTGTTCAACTTTTACGAGGACATTGACAAGATGGCAGGTTGACAGAATCGTCCAACTCAGTCTGACGGGGCGCCTCCCGCCTTCTCCCGTTGACAGACCGCTTCGGCCAGGTCAGAAGACGGTGTAATGAGACGGTAAATCGCGACGACTTCGCCTTTTGATCACGATTTCCTGACGACCCCGTGTACAAACTCGGGTCACCTGTTGTATTTGTGCAGCCTGCGCAGCCATCCCTTCCGAGTTTTAGCGGGTGGCTACGAACAAATAACGCGACTGTTTGGTCGTTCCACATGACTGGGTCAGTCAACCAAGACCTCATAGGTACGAAAGACCATAAGTACAATTTGTTTTTTCTTGTGTGTGTACTGTGCAGATGCAAAGAAAGGCATGCAAAGTGACGTCCAAAGTCAATAAACAAATCAAAGTTAACACGGCTTGTTTGTGTCAGAAGTGATAAGATTTCTTCTTAACTAGAAAGGCCAATATTTGCTTTGGAGCAAATACAGCGATGGGTTCACCACATTTTACGACATGGCAGGGAAAGAATGAGAAACACAAGGGAAAACAATGATTTACATTGATATAACTATAATATGAAGTAACATACAACTAAAACAACAGTTGGATTGCATAATGCAAACTGTTGATTTTCAAAAAAAAAAACGTTCATGCCCCGCATTCCAATGCTGGGGCAGAAAAGCTTGAAATACCTACCAAAACACTTGAATAAAGACATACTGTCAGTATGGAAATGCTCTGTGCAGGTGTTAATGAAGTTAAATCCCAACAGCCAATCAGCAAGAAGTATAGAGGAAAGCTGCATGCCTATTGGTTGATGCCCTGCATTCCATTGTGATGACTCATGCCCAGACGTGGTAAACACGGCACACTAACACAGTAATACATTTGCTATAACACAGCCAAAAAACTCCAATAAAACCATTCTAAAAGCCTGTATCACAAAAATTTAAAAAACGCCTAGGGGTATTTGCCCACTGTACCTCCATACCAAATTTCAGGACCTTAGGCCCTAAAATGAAGAAGCTGAATCCGTTTAAACTAGAAAGGCCAACATTTGCTTCGGAGCAAATGTAGGAATTTCACTCCATACCCTTCCCCAAACAAAAATAGGAGATTCTAAATAAATCATACTGC